TCTACGTTTGTACTAAAAACTTGATTGTCTTGTACTGTATATATTAGACATGTCTTGTACTGTATATATTAGTCTCCATTGGTCTCTTTCATGAACGAGTCATTTCTAATGAGGGAGCAGGTCTTTAAGCATTAACTGTATCATATGTAGTTACTCAGATCTGCTCACATGCAGCATGCTTTACTATTAGACACAGCTTATAGATCTGAATGTTCTGGTCACTCGGTGTAGACTGCAGCCCTCCTGCCTTCCCTAACACGCTTTCCTTCTTTTAATTCTGTATCTGTTACAGTCTAAAGGGTCAGTGGGCATGTTCAGGGACTGCCGAATTTAGACCAGTTTTTGTTTGGAAAGAATACCAAATAACTCCTGAAGAAGAATTAGTGTTACTTCAAAAATAATCTGAACAACTCAAAAAAGAGCAAAATAGGAATTAATTTAAAGATGCTGTTACCTTACACCGCAGACCAGTCAAACTTAAAGTAGTTTCACCACACATTAAAGCTTTATATCTCACAGACAATGAACAGTAAAGCATTGTTCACTGAGCTAACTTAAACTATTATTATCATCATCAAACTTATTTTGATAAAAGTTTGTAATTGAGGTTAATCCTGCTTTTGAAGTGAAAAATGGAAGTCAGCCTAAAAAAGCTTAAACAAAAGCCTGTAGTTGATTAAAAAAAATACAACGAAGTGTACATTGAACTCAGTTTTCAAACTAATGTATGGTGTTGTCTTGGTTTTCTTTTGCACACGACTAAAAATAAGAACACTGTGTTCCTGAAAATGTTCCAGATATTCCTTACATACCTCACTGACTGAAGAGCATTGCTCTCCTTTACGGTTTTGCATTTGAGCTGCTTCTTTTACAGTTCTCCACCTCCCTGAGAAAGAGGCAGTTGAACAGTTACTCCAGTCAGCTGAAAGCAAAACCAGAATCTCTTAAATCCTAAAAGCTTTCTATTGTAAATATTTGGTAAAGATGGAGAAATAATATCACAAATTGAAGTGAATGAATATAGAAGTACACAAATAACACAACACAGCACAATAGGATGTACTGTAGTATTAAGCTACATCTTCTTTATGTGTCATTTGTTTTATAGGCAACTAGTTAAGCAGCTAATTTAGTCTAGTTATTATCAGTAAACACACTTTAAGAAGTCTTTAACTGAGGGTAATGCTCCTTTTTAGTGAAAGATCCTGCAGAGCTGCATCTGTACACTGTACAAGAGCAAAGAAAGTCAGAGAGAGCACGCTAGATCACAGCTCACATGAGTGACTCACATCCACAATTCAACCATTCTGGAAGAATTTTGCAAATGAAAAAAATCACTCACTGTACTTGTACTGTTTCTTCTTTCTGGGTGCTGCAATACTGACACAGAGAAAAGTGACAAACACAAACACAAACTACAGCTTCAAACTCTTTAACACAAATACGATTTTTTATCTTTATATAAAAGAAATACATACATGAAATTTCTTTAAAATATATTTAGAAATGTTTAAATATTTCTATTTATTGTTATTTTTTGAAAATAACAAACATAACATGCTGAAATGCTAAAGCACATTCACAATATACAACCAACAAACTGTATAACACCTCTGAAACACTGCTTATTCATACAACTGCACAAATGTTCATAACATCCTGTAAAAGTATACAGTAATATACTGTAATAACAATCTCTGCACATGACATCACATATACATATATCTCCTTAGCTCCTTTTACGTTCACCCTGGAGAGCAGCAAGGACGCCGTGTAACAGGGTGTGGAGACACAGTTTTCTTTTTATTCTGAAAACACCACAATTCGCTTAGCTTTTCAGCCAGCATACAAATTAAAGAGCACATTTGTGGTGGAGCTATTGGAGAGGGGCATGGTCAGAACAGAGGGTAAAAGGGCATCCCAGCAGGTAATAACAGATAATAATAATAATAATAATAGTGCTGTACTTCCTGAACGGATAGCTTTCGACCTATGTACAACACTGGAACAAAACAGCCCCCAGCCCCCTGTCTGACACGTCAAAGACGAAAGGGAGAGTAAAATCAGGAGAATGCAGCAGCAGGCCCCGACAGAGAGCTGCTTTAACACGGTTAAAAGCCTGTTGGCACTGTTCCATCCACTGGACTGCATTTGGTGCTCCATTTTCAGTGAGATCAGTCAGTGGACTGGTGACATCCAAATAATTAGGTATGAACCTATGATAATAGCCAGCCAGCCCCAGGAACAGTCTCTCCTCCTTTTTGGTCTTTGGTCTCCTGCAGGCAGCAATTGCTGCCATCAGTTTGGGAACGCACCTGTCCGTGACCCAAGTAAAAGCCCAGATACCGTACCTTCACCCATCCAATCGCACACTTCTTTGGGTTGGCTGTGAGCCCAGACTTCAAATCCAGTGTCAGGTAACACACAGTGTTCATCAATACACAGCATTGGGTAGGCATCAAATGTAGACATTGCATTGATTTTTCAGTAATCCACACAGAACCATACAGTCCCGTCGGGCTTGGGGAAAGCAACACGGGGCTGCTCCATTCACTGTGAGACTCCTCGATGTCAAGCATGGCTATGATTTCATCCTCAACCATGATTTTTTGTGGTCAGGTAAGTGATAAGGCCAGCTGTGTACAACGATGTCAGGAGGAGTCTCAATGTGGTGTTCTATGAGGTCAGTACAGCCAGGCAGAGGCAAAAACATGTCAAAAAACTCTATTTGCAACCTGGCCACCTCTGCTTTCTGGTACGAGGAGGGCTGGTTGCCACAAGAGAGCAAAGTGTGACTGAGTGTTTTTGGGACCTCCGGTCTTAATTAGGCTCTCTTTGGAACTACCGTCACCAGAGAAACAGGGATTGCTTTCCTTTCAGGGTTTTAGGAGATTGAGGTGACATATCTGAAGTGTTCCGCCTCTGTTTTACCTCATAGTAGACTTCTCCTATTTGCTGTGCGACCTTGAAGGGTCCTTGCTACTTAAAGCAATTTAGAGCTCAACGTGGGGAGTAAAACGTGTACTTTGTCTACTGGTGAAAACCTACACAGCCGAGCACCCCTGTTGTAGGTGCAGCTCTGGCAATCTTGAGCCTGGAGCAAATTCTCCTGTGTTAAGTGGCCCAGTAATTGAAGTTTTGCTCTCAGGTCAAGAACATACTGGATTTTGTTTTCACTTTTTGAAGGCCCCTCCCCCAAATATTCTCTAATGACATTTAAGACACCCTGGGTCTCTTCCCATACAATAATTCAAAAGAAGAAAAGCCTGAGGAGGCTTGCGGGTTCTCTTGCATGGCAAACAGCAGGGATTGTAGCCACTTATACAAATTTTTTGGGTTGTCCTGAATGAATTTCTAAATTATACTTTTAAGGGTTTGATTTAACTGTTCGACAAATCCTTCCGTTTGAGGGGTGGTAACCACTGGTACGAATCTATTTAATGCATTTAAACAACTCGTATAGTTTGTTTAAATGCAGGGCGTAAACATAGTGACCTGATCAGTCAGGAACTCTTTCGGGATCCTGACTCGGGAGATCACTCTAAAGAGTGTCTCTGTGAACTTACATACTGATATACTGCAAAGAGGCACCGCCTCCAGACATCGCATTGCATAATGTACTAAGATTCAAAGCGATACCCACATGCACTTCTATCCAATGGTCTGATGAGGTCTGCTCCAGCACCACCAGATTGAGCACTTTCTTGGAATCGCGTTCTTTGGTCAACAGCCACCTCCTGCAGGAATCACAGAACTGTTGGGCCAACAAAAAGGGCCAGTCAAATTTCCATAGCATCAGTGAGCGGAACTGCTGACTGTGTTGTACTGGAGTCCGACCAATCCTCTGAAAGATGGCTTTTTTCAGCTTATCGTACTTCAGCTGCGAATGAGCGGGTGGCTGTTCGGCGGCCAAGGGGGCTTAACCCGTGAGCAGGGGAAGCAGTCATTTTGCCCAGTCCTTCCTTGGCCCCTCCCAGTCTTCCACTGCTCTCTCAAAAAGTTCCACAAACACTTTTGGGTCATCCTGGGGAGATTTTGAGCCTTTGAGATAGAGATGGTGGCTGAAGCTGGAGTACTGATTGCTGTCAACAAGCTCTGCATAAGCTTGCTGTCTGCCTGTCTTGAAGTAGGCCTGGTTTTCCTTCTGTAAATCCAGAAGAGCCTGATGTTGGGTCTGCTCCAGGAGGGAGAACGCTTTAACAAACTCTCCAACTGGTGAGGACTCCATGGCGACGTTTGTCCGCACTCCTCAGGTTTCAGCACCACTGTGACCAGTTTTTTCTGTTCTTCTGAAACAACACAACTCGCTTAGCTTTTCAGCTGGCATACAAATTAAGTAAGACGTTCACAGGACCTGTCTTTTTCTTCCTTGGGTCTTCAGTGATCTCCTTCTCTCTCTAGGCTCTGCTACTTACTGAGAAAAGACTTGGCCATAAGTAGGCTGGCAGAAACAAGACATAGGCGAATCTTATCAGCTACTTAGCATGACTGGTCCTGCATCCTGCATGTGACGCTCAACCATCCACAAATACCTAGTTATAATTTCTGTCATGCGATATACCCCAAAAACTAAAGAGAAGACCACAAAGTGTATTTCAAAAGAAGAATAGTTTACAGAATTTAATAGAACTTTTTTTTTTTTAGGTTTAAATGAACATAAAAAGAAGTATTAGTAAAAGAATAAAAATGGAGACAAATATTCTGAACAGGTTAACATGTTCAAACAAACACACAAAAGCTGAACTAACCAAATGTGTAAAGAATGAAATCAGCAGGCAAAAACGCAGAAATAGAAAGAAAGAAGAAAAGAGAGAATGGTGGGGGTCGAGAGCACCCACATGTGTCTTCCCTACCTAACACAGACTTGCCAAAAGTGCTTATACATTTAATAAAAATTATATGTAAATTAGACATTCTACATACAGAATAGCTGACACATACCGATTCACCATTACAAATCAAAATTATTGTAATGCAGACTTGGATTGCTTCGAGAACAAAACTGAACACAGTGTCAATAGTGAGATTCAGTCAAAAAGGATACTGTCCCTCATGCGCATCGTAATGACATCAGTAAGGGTCGGTGTCAGTGAGGCCCAAGGGCTTGAACAACTCCAAATGGGCACCATTCACCCAGTTATATGATGATGGAAAAACCCCGTTCAAACTCCTGTACCATTGTCCGTCCCCATGTCTGGAAAGATGGGCATTAACAAGTCCTTATCTCATGTCACAGCCTCCTTCTTAACAAAACCACTCTCCAAGTATCACAGGATACATCAACAGTACTTAAAGTCTATGAAAACAGTAAGGGGAAATTCATGGATGAGTCGTAGTCTGGCCTGTATCCAACTTTATGCCATGTAGAATAGGCATGTGTAGGCCATACTGAGGAGAGGTCACCAGTATGTCACAATGGTGTGATGTCTTGCAGTCCTTTATGCTCCTGTGTCTGCTTTACAAAGCTGTTCAATGCTGCCCAGCACAGCAAAGTTTCACTATTGCAGTGTTCAGGATCACATTTCCTTTATTACTGTCCTCAACAAGAACATTTCAAACAAACAGCATACAGAAAACATCCTAAAGGTTAAAACGGAAGACAGACAAAGTGGTACTTTCATTGCAACAACCAAGAACTACTTCATGTGTAGGAAACAAAAGTGCAAAAGAGGGACTCAAGGAACTAAACTCAAAACATCCATCATTGCAACCAAAACACTGTACTTTCTTGGATATACTGAAATTAGAAAGTAAAGAACCTTTTTTATTGATTGTGGACCTTCATAATAGTTTTCAACATATAATACAAATGAAACTAAATTTGGGAGGAGAAGCTGAAGTACTACACTTTCTCACTGGGTGTATGAGCCACAGGCTTGACTGGGTGTTCAGCACAGAAAATGATATTTCATTTTAGAAACAGTGTACAACAAGTGACCTTAAAAACTGTTTGAAATCTGGGATGAAAGCACCATGTGTTAAGGTTGCACTCACTACTTTCCATTTCCACCATTGCTCTTAGTGCACTTGTGTGTCATCACAGTCTTCGAATGCCTGAAACTTCTCCCACACTCTGAGCAATAATAAGGCTTCTCTCCTGTGTGAATGCGCTGGTGTTGCTGGAGATGAATCAGTTGATTAAAACTCTTCCCACACTCTGAGCAGTAATAAGGCTTCTCTCCTGTGTGAATGCGCTGGTGTTGTTGGAGATTACTCTGTTGATTAAAACCCCTCCCACACTCTGAGCAGTGATATGGTTTCTCTCCTGTGTGAATGCGCTGGTGTTCTTGGAGATGGCTCTGACGATTAAAACTCTTCCCACACTCTGAGCAGTGATACGGCTTTTCTCCAGTGTGAATGCGCTGGTGCTGTTGGAGAGTACTCTGATGATTAAAACTCTTTCCACACTCTGAGCAGCTGATACGGCTTCTCTCCTGTGTGAATGCGCTGGTGTTGCTGGAGATGACTCTGACGATTAAAACTCTTCCCACACTCTGAGCAGCGATACGGCTTCTCTCCTGTGTGAACGCGCTGGTGCTGTTGGAGATGACTTTGACGATTAAAACTCTTCCCACATTCTGAGCAGTGATACGGCTTCTCTCCGGAGTGAATACGCTGGTGTATTTTGACAGTACTCTGTCGAGTAAAACTCTTTCCACACTCTAAGCAGTAGGGAGTTCTCTCCTTCCTGCATTTCTGTGTTTGTCTGCGAGATGTGTTCATGTGGAGGGATGATATTTGCTGAGTGCTGGAACATCTTCGGGATGCCATATTGAACCTGTTTCTTCAGTTTAACATTCTTCTTGATGGACAGTCCTGACGTGTTGAATGGAAGGACATTTAAGATGGGTAAGAAAGTGCAGGAGACTTCAAACAGGACATCATTTATTTCTGGAAGAAGAAACAAGAAAATCTAAACTCAATGTGTAATGCAACAAAAGTAGTCTGATCCAAATCATGAATGCTCCATTTACATCAACAGGCAGAAAGTGTGAAGAAAGAATATTCCATCTGTTGTAGAAAAGACAATCAACTAATTACTCAAACTCATCTATTAGACACAGAGACCACTGAAGTCATGTCGTCATGCCCATATTGGGAACAATTGCAAAGCAAAACCCCCAACTCACAGCTAAAGACCTGCAGGAAGATTTGGCTGGCACGGGATCAGTGATGCACTAGCCTACTGTGCAGTGTTACTGCACAAACATTATATACACAGAAAGTATCAGAAGGTAACCTTAACTATGATCTCATCACAGATGTCAATGTCTGAAGTTTGCAACACAACTCTTAGAAAACCCAGAGGCATTTTGAAATCGAGTGCTCTGGTTAAATGAAACAATAAAATGTGGTGTGTGCAGTGATGTTAATGATGATTGAGAGCCAAAGAGTTGAATTATTTTAGTTTTGTTCTCTTCCAATATATGAAATTCACTAAATAAATGGTAACATTGCATTTAAATTTGTAGCAATATATGATATTTATGTTTATTTCATGCGGATGTCGTATTAACTTTACATTTAGAAAATTAAACATGTACTTTGACCAGGGGTGCCTAAACTTTCACATACTACTGTACAAAAAACATCCTGAAAATGTTTGTTTTTTATTTTTTTTTTGTTTTCTGTGTGAAACATAAAATGTTCGTTCTTAAGGATGGGGGTGTGGGGTGTCGTGACCCCAACTGCCTAATAATATAGTGTGGATGTAAGGCCGTTTTTTCCACTATCGAGCCAAATGGTTCTCAGGGCCATATTGAGCCGGTCTGCGCTGGTCCGGACTCGTGAGACCAGTTACGGTTTCTTTTTCCATCTGTTGTACCGCTACATCAGAACCAGGAAATACCCAAGAAAACTACATAAACGAGTGTCTAACTACTAACAGTCATGCTCACACCACCCACCACAAAACCAGTTTGATTCGGTCACTCCAACTTTAGTCTCTCGGTGTACTCTCATCTTCTTTATTACGTTACTGAAACAGCCTGTACTGAGGTGGGCTTCACCTGTAGCTGGATAACTATTTTACTGTCACTTTAACACCAGTCACTCAAATTAGTGCTCTCAGATACAAGTCTTTATCCTCTAAAGTGGTGTTTTTTTTAATCATAAGTTTGCTAGAACCAAGCCCGTACTGCACTGGGAGGCACTGTGCACTTGAGCTAGCTTAGCCTAGCAGGCGATAGCTTAAAGCACTACAGAACAGGTTCAATTTCAGCTTTCTGTCACTCCACCACCAATGAGTTGACTTTCCTCTCACAGTTTTTATCATTTATACATGTGATAGCAGAGTACCAGTTAAGTTGAATCGAACCTGCACTAGGATATTTGGATCTCTTCAGCTATGCTAAGTTAACTAGGAGAGAGGAGCCGGCTAGCATTAGCTTAGCTATGAGGTTCCAGCTCCAGACACCAGAGACCAGGTTTAATTTTGGCTTTTCCTCACTCTAACATCAGCTGCTCAACTTCACTTCCTCAGTTTTGAGGCATTATCATCTAAATTTGTGTCAGTAAAGCTTTTATTAGTCAGAATCAAACATGTTCCATAGAAAACAGAGCTGGCAGCATGCTAGCTAAGCTAACGCCTACCAATTACTCTCTCGGTAAATATCTTTGATATTTATTGAATGGTGGGTTTATAACTGTGCATTTCTTTCATTTATTTGCTGTCTGTGTTAGCAAACTGAACTTATTTGATTGTTTTTAATAACACAGCAGGATGCGGTGGCACAATACTGACATAAACATAGAAACAACCAACAAACAGCTGCGTCGTTACATCATCCCACCGAACGGTTCTATGGCTTCGAGTACGGTTAACTAACTGTGCTGAAAAAACAAACGGAGCCCAGTTTTTAAGAGTTCTGTGTCGAACCATGTCCACGTGGAAACGCCACTGGAACGGTTACCCTCCATGCTCAGAACTGTTCAGCCCTGCAGTGGAAAAAGGCTTATGACTACGGCTAAATCCCATACAGTGCAGTTTATGGGTTATAATCTAGGTTCTGTGAAGGGTTTAAATTGTATTAACTAAAGTTTTGAATTGCTGGTTATACACAGTGTGTTACTGTGTATGTTTTGCAAGTTGAGCTCACATGATTGTTCCGTACTTGCAATCAATTTTTCAAATGGAAATCATCTTGTGCTGCCCTCAGATACTCTAAGTTTATATATTTGTGATATCATTTTTTGAGGTTTAAGGCCGTGTAGTTTTGAGAAGAGAAAAGGAGTGGAATTGTCAAAGTGTCTAATGTTGAATGTTTTCTTTATAACTTCTTTGAGCTGTATATACTTAAAGGAACAGTGGAATATTATATTTTTCCTTTATGATGTTGAAAGTCATGAACAAGCCATTAGTGAATAACTGCTGCAGGCTGGTTACTCCTCTCTGACTCAACGCTGAAAATATGAAGGGTGTATTGTAGATCAGAAACTTGAGGTTGTTCCATAAAAAAGTGTGCTCAGAAGGAGAAAAACTACAACTGAGGATTTCACTACATTTCCAGCAAGCAGCTGGGTGGTACTTGTGTTGTGTTTAGAACAATTTTGTGATTTTATTGTGTGGTCTGTTTAGCGAATGATGTTATTGTCTAATTTTTTAATTAAACCGCCTTCAGTATCCAAACATGGTTGGTTTGCGTTACTTGTCCAATGTTGAATGTGAAGTAGCTGGTATGACAAGACGTAGTAAAATTCAGGGCTCCAAATCCCCCAAGATGTTTCGGCTTTTGAAGCGTGGATAATTTTGATTGGTGATTTCAGTAGAACCTGATACCTGCACATTTGAGAGAAGATAGCCAGCCAGAAAGTGAAGTGACAGGGGTCACAGAAAACAGATAATTGATTTTAAGGAGGATATTCATTTTAATAGTGGGTGTTCAACAAATTAAAGATAATGGTAGATTGTTCCATCTTTCTAGAGTGTCCTTCATTTCTTGCAGTAGAGAGGCATAGTTTGGTTTGGAGAAATGTCAATACCAAGATACTTAATAAACTGAGCTGCGTGTTCAGATGGCGAGTCCCGGACCTCAGCACACCCACTGAATTTGCTCAGGGGCAGAAACTCGTATTTTCACAAGTTGATGGAAAAACCAGACGCCTTGCTACAGCTGCTGATCATATTAACTTAAAATACAATACAAATTACAAATAGAAATAAATTAAGTCCTACATAGAACTGGCAAAAATTTGCTTTAAAAATTACATCTATTTCAGACCGATATTTAATGACATATTTATAACTCATTTCATAAAAAGCAACACACTTTGACTCCAACTTGGCTTCTAAATTTACATGAACGCAGCTCAGGTCATGAGGAGAGGGAGGAAAAGGAGACAGTGAGACAGTGAGCAGAAAAAAGATGATGAGAAAGAAAGTGCCAGGTCAGATATTCTTCTTCCTTGCAATTATTAGACTTTATTTACTCTATTAGTTTGGTTGTTATAAGTATGAGTTAACAGTTAGCTCGTTACATATTGTACTTAATACAGCACTTGAATTATGAACACTGGAGCACACAAAAGAACAGAAGCCCATGAGATAAAAGCCAAGAATCATAAAGTTTGCTCCAAGAGACGTCCTGACAACTAACTAGGCAAAGTTGGATCAAAGCATAAAGCATTTTAATCCACTAGACAAGGGCATTGATAGCATAATGTAAGTTTTCCATCTAGCCTGTTTATAATGCAAATCATAAATATCATTAAAAACGACCAAATATTCTGGGACAACAGCTCACATTACTCAGCGAAGTTTGAATGAAGCTGCTTCTGTGTTGTCTAATCTATTTTAAACCCATCCAATCTTATTTTCAGAACTCAAATGTGTCTCCAGCTGTTTGTCTCAGAGTGAATGAAGAACAGTGAGTGTTAAAGTGTCGGACAGCTTCCTACCTTCAACACTTCTGCTTGTTTCTGTTCCTCCATCAACATTGTATGAGCGCGGAGGCGTGGACTGCTGACCACAACACAACCTTCTGCTTCTCCGCTTTAGTGCAGTTGGAGAAAGTTATGGTTGCAAAATTTGCGCCACCACCTGGCCTGAAGCGGCTTCACGCTGAAACCATGCGATCACGGATCACGGTCGTTATTTTAAATCCCACCCGTATTCAGTCAAGCCCCGCCTCCAGCGCTCTGATTGGGTAGCAGCAGGACTCAACTTCGGACTGAAAACTGGAGGGATTAAACAGGTCAGCGCTGTACAATAGAACTGAAAAGAGCACCATTAATGAAAAAGATTGGCAAAGCGTTTCTGAGCTCTCCTGTCTCGCTTCTTTTCTAACTCCGAGCTGTTCTCACCTCATGTCTGTCAGTCTCAGCCTCTTGCTTCTCCCTCCTTTTTTCAGATGTCTACCTTAAAACACAAATACCTTAAAACACTTATACTGTGTCTTCAAAAAAAAATAAAAAATCTTTGTGCATATCAATTCATAGCATATGCTTCTTGCACACATATATAATGAAATGCACATGAAGACGTCCAATCAGAAAAGAGGGAAAAAAAGAGAATTCACAATCACATAAAACTTTAAGAAAAAAAACAAAACAAAAAAAACATTTATGGGTATTTAGTGATTTAGTATTGGTAAAATGCACAAATAGTATGTAGATATTGTTTAATTTCTTGTTCAAAAATATACAAAAAGTTCGCTTGTTAAATTTACTTTTGTAAATTGA